AAATTTTAAATAAAAATTTATTGTATTATATAAATAATATTTAAAATTTTTAATTAAATAAAAATATTCAACAAAAACTACATATATAATAAAAAAAATTTAATTATTTATCATATAAGTTATTAAATTTTTATCTTAAATTTATATTTAAAAAATTAAAAATTTAAATTAAATTAATTAAAAATAAACAAATATATATATCAAGTATAAGTGATTATAATTAATATAGCCAATTATACATTGACTTTAACTCGTTATATAGCCCAAATTTTATTTCTTTGGGATTTTATATCAGTGATTAACTTCCGAGCAATATAACTAATTATATTTTTATATTACCAACTATATCTTTATTTAACAAATTATTTCCAAATTCAAAATCTAAATTTCATTTAACAAATTATTACCAGTTAAATTTCATTTTTTTTCTTGGCTACCCTGCATTTATTTTCCCAGATATTGGCAATCACACATCCTCATAACCACACTAGGATTTTCGGATCTAATGACGTCAGATCACGTATAAGTGCATTCTTTTATTCTTAAATTTGACTTTTTGTCAATTTATTTAAAAAAAAAAAAAACATCCTCGTACCCGTACTATCTCATAAAAATTTTACCACATAATTACTTTCCTGAATTTTCTCTCTCTTAACTACAGCCATTCATAATTCATCTTTTCCCCTTCACCCATGTCTATCTTCATCCTGTCTCTTCACCGATTTTTCTCATATCTTGTCTCACTCAACCACCCACCTCCTTTCTCTTCTTCATTCCCAGGTCTTCTTTGCCCTTCTATTCCTCCTGGACGGTAAAAAGATAGTCCAGCATCTTCACCAATTTCCTCATAATTCTTACAAAATCATCATGTTAATTTGATAATGGACAAATACCGAAACCAAAATCGTAGAAACCACGAAATCAACCGATTTTAGAATTGTGGTGTGTTATCTCTATATTTTTTTATATTATTAACAAAAACCATAAAAACCGAAAATTTTGATACCCAGAACCGAATATATACGAGACTTTCGGTGTCAATTACTTCGGTCATGTAAAAAAGGAAAAAAAAAAAAAATGAGCGAGTCAAATTTCTCAAGAGAAAAGGTAATGTAGGAAAGGAAAGTTCAACCCATCCATGCTTGTCACTTTCACTACTTGTCCATTGTGTCCATTGTGCCACATCATCTCCAGCCAGTCACCTATCTAGCTTTTTAACATTTTCTTTACTCGTCCAAAATCCCGCGTGTCCCTTTGATAGTTCCCCTTGGTGACCTGCCACATCACCCTACTGTCCCCACCTGCCCTCTTTTAATTCTCCACTATCCACCCAAAACCCAACTGTCCAAGGACCCCGTGTGGAACTTGTGTGCCAGCTCCTACGCCACGTAGATACAACCGTGTATATAAGGCCTCGCTTAACTTCCCACACTCTCCAACTGCAGCAAATTGTTCAAAGAGAGAAGATGCAAGGTTCCACCAAGAAACTCAAACTCACAGCCGCCTTTGCCGCCACTCCGAACACCCAATCTCCACCGCCATCCCTCCGCCTTTCTCCCGAACAAGAGCTGTCTATCATGGTCTCTGCCCTCCAAAACGTCATCTCCGGTACCACCAATACTGCCGTCGCTGGGGATCTCTCTTCCCAATTCGCTTCCACTAGCACCGTTATTCCTACCCACGATGCAAATTTTCCGAACGCGGTGTTTCCGATGGTGTCTGATTGTTTGGATACCTGCAACGTGTGCAAGATCAAGGGTTGTCTCGGGTGCAACTTTTTCCCGCCAGTTAAGCAACAGGAAGTGAAAAAGGTAACGAAGAAGCGAGCGAAGAAGAATTACAGGGGAGTCAGGCAAAGGCCATGGGGGAAATGGGCAGCTGAAATCCGAGACCCGAGGCGCGCCACAAGAGTCTGGCTTGGGACATTCAACACAGCAGAGGAAGCGGCACGGGCCTACGACAAGGCCGCCATTGAGTTCCGTGGACCCCGAGCGAAGCTCAACTTTCCGTTCCCGGATTTTAACACCAACTCTAACATCGGCAGTACCTCAGCAACAACAGTTAGTGATCAAGGAGAAATCAGCTCGGAAAATGCACAGCGTGGCAGCGGAAGTGAACAAAGGGAAACAGAGATGGAATTGGGAAAAGACAGTGAGTTTTGGGACAGGATTGGAGAAGATGAAATTCAGCAGTGGATGTTAATGCTAGATATGCCGGCCGGGGATTCCTCCGATTCTGCAACTACCACAACCGGAAATACCAACAGTTACTAAGGATTATTAGTGCTAGTCTAGTCCAAGCCAAATCGTGAAAATTTTACAAAATCCACTTTCTTCCAATAATTTCCGTGGAAAAAAAAGGTAGGAACTAGAAAACTCTTCTTCAATTATTTGAAGGGTTTTCAGTTTTTGGGTACTCCAATTGATTATGTGATTAACAACCTTGTAATTACACGATTGGAAATTAATTCCTAGTGTTGAGTGAAACTGTACCCTTGTTAGTTTAACTATCTGTGTGTCTCTGGACTGAGTTGTACGTTCATCAAAATGACTTTGATTGTATTTATTTGCAAGGAGTTGATTTTTGGGTGTCTCGAAAATGTAACAAGAAGGCGGATCCCATCCACTATGGATTTTGTTTGACACAGGAATTTCACCTGACGGAAGCAACGTCTTTGGGAGTGGGATCCAATAAAAAATTCAAAACCCATATGTCTATTTTATTACAGCACATGTGTTCTTTTCGTCATTTTTTTTGTGAAATACAGCACATGTATTCCGTGTCTAAACTCTGACACTTAAACAATCATTGGATTAGTTGATGAATATCGCCACGCGCTGATAAATACAAGTTAAAAGACAAAAATATCCTCAGTGTCAGCGTAACGTATGCGTAATCAGGATAAGTTTAGAGAACTCGTCATTTACTGAAATTAAATTTAGAGGGCGTTAATCCTAGCTTAAAAATTACTTCCTCCATTTTTAATATTAGTTTTAATTTGGCTTTGAATGTTATGGATATAAAATTTAGAGAAAATTTTAATAATTTTTACAAATAATCATTGAAAAAATAATTTTTTTATATGAAATTTTTGTTGCATATTTTTATTTAATAAAAAAAATTTTAATTATCATTTATAGACTCAATCTGTCCTAAAGTAACTGATTTTTTAACTTTGACTTTATTTTAAATTAATTATTTTTTTATTTTTTAAAGTAGATAAATATTTTTTTCCTACTTAATTTTATTATTATCTATTTATTTTAATTAATTATCCTATAACAAAAGTCTTATTTTGTTTTTTAGTTTTTCTAAAAATAATATAAAAAAATACATAAATTGTTTCTAAATTCTTAATTTAGAAAAAAAGTAAAAAAAAAAAAAACAACAATTGTCTTAATATGTAAAATTTTCATTTGAAATTTATATTTGAAAAGTCAAAAAATTAAACTAAGATTATTAAAATAGAATGAGAGAGCACTGTTTATCTTGTACAAATTTAAAATTTTATTAGAGAAAAATTTATTCCCTCCATTCATTTTTAGTAAAGCTAGTTTCTTATTTTAGGACATTTAAATTTAGTTGTTCATTTTTCCTTTTTAAGATACTATTTAATATTTTTATTTTTATTTTATTTTCATTTTAAAAAGATAATTACAACATATATTAAATAAAAAGTCTATTAATAATCTGTTAATCCGAGTAGAAAGAATTCAATTTTTCTTAAATAAAATCTTTAAATAAAATTTCAATTTCGAGTCTTATGAATAGATAAATAAATACTGAGAGAGTTTTCCTTTATGTAGTCTGACATGGATCGATTCTGGATCAATTAAGACTCAACGTAACTTTTGGATATCAAGAGATTAATATAAAATAAATAAATAAATAAATAATCTTATTTAAGTAGTACTTAATTAGAGATAAATATTATTTTAGTCTGACGTGGTATTGACCTTTCTTCCAACCCAAAATGTGCTTTTTTTGGTGATAGTGTGGAAGCTATTAACCACATCTTTGCATTGTGCCGATTTTCCCAAAACATCTGGACTCGATTATGCTGCTGGTGGGGAACTCCTTTTTCTCCCATTGGTAACGCCCCCCTCCTCCTTTTGCAACTTTGTTCACTTAAGCTTGGCATAAAATCTCAAAGTCGTTGGGTGCATTCTTTTGTTACAACAGCATGGGCCATTTGGTATTTTCGTAATGATATCGTGTTTAACAACCTTACTTGGAATACTTGGAATGAAAATATCATCTTTGAGTTAGTGTTAACAAAGACCTTTGGTTAGATAAAGGAGAAATCTAAATTTGCTATATTCAATTACAGTGATTGGTACCAGTTCCCAGCTCTATGTGAAGTTTAATTTTGTTTCTTCTTTTGTAGAAGGTGAGTAGAATTTTGATAACAATGATGAAAGTATTGTAAATATACGTTAGAGTACCCCTTGTACTCTATATTAATAAAAAAATTTATTTGGCTGATAAAAAAAAAAGAGATAAATATGAAATTTTATCAATATATTACTACATCTCTATTTTATTAAACAAAAAAATTAAGTCTATTAAAACTTAATAGAGAAAGTAAAATTTATCTTTTAAAATAATTTTTAAATAAATTTTAAAAAAATTTAAATGTACAATTTTTTTTCAAAACTTATTTGAAACATATTTAAAAATCTAATTTTATTGTTTCTCTTAAATGAAATTTTAAATTTATAAAAAAACAAATAATATTTTAAATTAAAAATAACTGCCTTTTAAACTTTCTCAGACAACTGCTTACATAGACCCAATTTTAAGGTGCCTCAACTTGAACATCGTTAATAAATTGTGTCGAACTTAGGTTTTTATTTGTAAGATGCAGTGTATTTGTTATACTTTATCTCTCCTAAAATAAATTGCACTTTTTGAATCTATTTCTAAATTCAGGATCTTTCTTTATTTAATTTTTATTATTATCTCTTAATTTTAATTATTCATTTTATTACTCTTTTTATTTTAAAATAAATATTATCTTTAATTTTTTTCCAAATTAAGAATTTTAAAATAATTTATGTATGTACTTATATTATTCTTAAAAAATTAAAAGATAAAGTCAAATTTTTTATAATAAGATAATCAATCAAAATAAATAGATAAAAATAAAGAAAAAGTAAGAAAAAAAATTTATTTATCTTAAAAAATAAAAAATTGATAATTAATTTGAGATTAACTCAAAGTGAAAAAATAATAATTATTTTAAGATAAAGTATAAAAAAGTTTCCTTTTTAAGAATAAAATATATAAAAATAAAAATTATTCCCAAATTCTTTATGTAAAAGTAAAATAAAAAAACCTCTACTCCCTCCATTCAACTTTAAGCTTTAATTTTTAATTTTGAGTGTTTAAATTTAATTATTTACTTTTTTATTTTAGAATATCATTTTGAAAAATTATTCTATAGTTCGTCACAAGGCAAACTCTAAATTAAACACCCATATCATTTAATGCTTTATTTTTATTTATCCTTATTTTAATTGATAATTATAATATATATTAAATAAAAGATTAATTTTATTTTGAGTATAAGAGTGACATTTGAACCCCACACTTATCATTACATGAGATGTTCTTTATAACATATATGGTAGCCACTTGGACTTCTAAGACTTTTCAAATAAGAAAATTAATTTAAATAATAACTAATTAGAGATAAATAAGAAATTTATTAATTAATTATTACTAGTATATCTTTATTTTGTTAGAGGAAAAAAACTAAGCCCACCAAAGGTTTTTTTTTATAAGTTAGGACTCTGTCTAATATGTTTGTGATTTAAAATTTTTAGTTTTGATTTTTATAAATTTTGTATAATTAATGAAACCAAAACTCAAAGTTAAAAATTAAAAATTTATTTAAAACTAATTTTAATATTGACAATTAAAAATATTTACATGTTTAATGGTATTAAAATT